GAAAGAAAAAAGTAGAATTCAGATAAGTTATGAACAGGTGCAAATCCCCCACGATGAATGGGATCATTATATCTAGCAAACATGTGCTAATAAAAAATAACTTGAAAAAAGAAAATACTAGTACCAGATCTCTCTGCCTACCAACTGGGCAGAGATGCCTCTTCCTGGGTGGTGGACAAAGGTGGGACCGTGACAAGACGTCAGCTGGGGGCAGGCCACGCGGCTGCGCCCAGAGGAGGCCAGGAGACTTGTAGCTGATGCTTTGCAGCTAACCCTTCTTTCTCCTCCTCACGCCTTCCAGGGTCAGCGCCAAACTGGAGGGGAACCAAACACTCAAAGTTGTAGAGCTGGACCGAAGAGTGAATGCCACCTTCTAGGCGGCGTCTCCGCGCCCTCTCTCCTTTTACCTCTACTTTGTGTCTCTAAACCATCGTGGTCACAGCTTTTCCTCTTTGCCACTGGATCCGGATGAAGACCTGGGCGAGCGCGCGCGGCGGGAACGCGAGGCACCGGCTATCGCCACCAGCGCCTGGCTGCCTGTCGCCCCTTCTCTCACTGTCATAGGAAGCTCTGTTAGGAGAAGGCCGGGACGGGACCGGCAGGCTCCTTTCTACCCGTAGTGCCAAGATAACTGACTGACTCTCCCCTGCAAGGTGCGACCCCTCTTTGAAAAGAGATGATTCATGTTCTCCCGAGACCCCAGCCCCTAGCCACAGACCTCTGCGGTGCCTGTTGCGATCCAGTCAAGCACTGACTCTTGTCCATCCTGCTTGCTTTCACCGCCCGGCCTCCCAGACGAATGCCTATAGCCCTGGGACCGCCCCTCCCTCCTCTGCCCTCTGGAGCCCCCCTGTCCCTGCCCTGGCGTGGACAGACAAGGGCTCCCGTTGTATTCTCAGGCCGCACGTGCAATGCCGAACAGCGTCAACCAGGCTGTTCTCCTCCAGGCGAAGCTGCCCATCTTCGTGCTTGTAGGACCTCTCCCACCTACCATCCGCCCGCAGGCCCACGCCCCTCCCTTCCAGCTCCCCGTCCCCGTTTGTAAATAGTATTTATTAGCTTGGTGAGGCTTCCCACCCGTGACCACACTGGGACAGCCTGTGCCTCTCCCCCCATGCTAAGGAAGTCTTTGGTCGCCTTTGGAGCTAGGAGGTCCCCCTGTAGGCACTGGGATTCCCGATATTTCCACATAATGTTTTATTTCCTTCCTTGCTTCTTTGAAATTGGAGGCCTTATGTAATCATTACACTTGAGAGTCCATGTTAGCAAGTGCCTCGCGTTGCACGGAGGCGCGGGCGGAGTCAGGAGGTGCTCAGGCGCCCGGCTGTGTGGCCCCTGCTTTCTCCGGTTCGCATAACAGGGAAGGGAAGCCTGTCCCCTCCAGTAGGCCTTGCTGCCCGCTTGACCTGCACGCCTGCCCGGCTCCACCCCTCCCCTCTCTCTCCTTCCCCTCTGCCTTCCTCCACCCGAGGGTTGAATAGGGCACATTCGCATAGCCGCGTTCTTACCTTTTATGGTCAAGTTAGGCTACTTTGCAGCTCACCCAAAGAGATATAACCTAACCCCCACTCTACTTTTATTTTTTTTAATGATTAAAAAAAGTCACTTTTCTAGTTTAAAAAAAAAAAACTTTCCTCTTTCATATAAGAAATGGAAATTGCCTTTTTATTGTAGAAGGTAGAAGATTCCCTTAAGTGTTTTTTTTTTCTTAGCTTGTGAAAGATTTGTGCAAGAAATATGCTTACATTTGGTATTTTATGTTTAGTAGCAGTGAAGGGCCTTTAGCTTTGGCTTTTCTCTCTGTCTGTCTGTCTCTCTGTCTGCCTTTCTCTCTCTCTCTCTCTCTCTCTGTCTCTCTCTCTCTCTTCGTGTGTGTCTCTGTGTATGTGTGTTTCTCTCTGTCTTTCTGTGTTTCGCCCTCTCGCTCCATCTCCCTCTCCCCTCCCCCATCTTGTCATCACCATCCATGTCAACATTGGAGCCTGTACTTAAGAGGGATTATGCCCAGTCCCTGTCCATCCCATATCAGACACAGGATTTGGTGGCATTAGCCTGTGCTGTCGTTCCCTGTAAGCAGCTCCCTGCTTTGTTTGTCTGGCCACATCTGTGGTGGGAATTGGACTGGTTTATCATGACCACAGCCGTCTTCAGCCTCTGGCCATCCCTCTCAGTGGCCAGGGCAGGCTTGGACATCTGGACTCTGGGAGGAGGGGTTGACTGGTGACTCCGAGTTCATTTTTTTCTGCTCCAGAAGCTCAGGCTCTTGATCCTGTTGGCCCTGCTGGTATCCGGTAACCATGGGCCACAGTTGACCCAACCCATCCCTTCAAAGGTTGGTTGCTTGTCACTCAGGCAGACTGTGTGGCCCTAAGAAGACAAAAACCCAGAAATAGCTCAGGTGACATATAAGTGATGAGAAAAGAAGGCTTCCATGTTTAAGGACCGACGAGAGGTCACAGGCAGCTTGCTGTCCATTACAGCTGAGCCTGATGGGGGAACACCCACATTTCTGAATAAGAAAGAAGAAAAACCTGGTAATATCTAGCCCTCATCCTTTGTGCGCTGAGAATTTCATTGTTCCTAGCTACCCTTGCTTCACATAGCTCTCTCCAGATGTCAAATGGCAGAGCTTTTCCAGAACACAATCTATAACTGGAGACAGGGCTCTAAACCTCCCTCCTCCATTCCTGGCTTGGAGAAATAAAGGGAACTAAATATTGTTTCCATTGGGGGCAAACTGGGGTCAGTGGGACCCAGGAGAGTTGGATAACACCAGAAAATTGATGGCTGTGTGCTCCATTTCTGTGCAAGCATGAAGCCCAGTGTGTCCACGGATTTGTTTTCCCCATGGGGTACACACCCCAAAGACCTGTCATGCATTCATTGCTAGCTCTGAAGTTGTCAAATCGTGGCACATGTTGACACCTGAGCTTTTTTTTTGTACTTTTTTTTAGAGAAGGGTCTACAGGGTATTCAGGGTGTCACTAGTGAATCGGACTCATACTGATTCTGCTGCTTATAGCCTCCCAAGAGCTGAGATTACAGGCTCATACCACCAAACCAAATCTCAAATAGTTTTTTGTGTTTGTTTTTTTGAACCCGAACTTTAGTTTTGAAGAATACGAGTCTATTAGAAAAACGAAAAGCTTTAAAAAAGTGAAACCCGCTCATTCTGCTTTCCTTGTGTAAGTAGGCTTTCCCTCTTCCCTACTTTTTCTGGTTCCCCTGGTAAAGAAAGGTCTTACTTAGATTCACTGGATAAAACCTGAGGAAGCCCCTGCCCCTAGAACGATTCTTTTCTCAGCTCTCAACTTGGCATTACAGATGGATACTGGAAAAGAGTGTTCTGTAAAAGTCTGACAGCTAAACTAGATTGTTCCCTTTTGGCAGGAAGTGGGGGTGGAAGCTGACATTGGTGTAGGCTTAACTAGCTAACCTTTTGATGAATATAAATGATCTTGATTTGGAGATCTTCTTTGTAGATTGGGAAAATATTGTTCAGTTTGAATTATTTACAAACCAACCATGCATACCAGATCCTTTTCCCTAATTAATCTCTCCGTTAGGCTTGGATTCCATAAGCTGGCTGTGAATCTCATGTACCTGTAGAGTAAGTGTTGAACTGATTCTTCTTTGCTTTGATACTGAATCAGTGTCCAGGATATTTGTCACAAGTATTTTATTAAAATGCTTTCTCTTCATTTTACGGACCTTCCCTCTTACATCCTCAGATCACCAAAAAATATGGACAGGATCAGAGGCCACCTAGAGCTAGCCCCTCTGAAAACCCAAAGCATCTGGGGTGTGCACGTGAGTTCAGTTCAGAGATCTGGACTCATCCCATCGCCGAAGTCCAAGTGGGACTCATCCCTGCTGACAGTACTGCCCTGGGGATGTGGAGGCAGCAGAGCACCACCTTGCATGCCTCCGATTTCTGTTGCATCCCATCTGGGAGGAACCTGGGCTAGAGGCCGAGACCCCTGCCTACAGCCTGGCAGGCCTGCAATGCCCTAGGGAGGGCTGACTTATTTGACCACGGACTGCTGAGACAGGTGGCTCATGTGATAGGACAAACCCTCTTGGGAGGCAGATGTGGAGGAAAGGTGAGACAGCAAAGCATGCCGGAAGGAGCCAGGGACTGATGTCAAATCACTCAGTCATGTAGTTACTCCTGGGTTGTTTCAGTTATAGTAAGGGAGAGTGTGGCCCTCTCTTAGGTCCTAGGAATAGAATAAAAGGAACTGAGGATACTTCATATAATCAAAACTATTCCAAAGGTCCATGTGCTAGCTCTGTCTTCCACCTTCCTCTCTCTCTCTCTCTCTCTCTCTGATGCACACATAGACATTCCCCCTTATCTTCCCTACTTTGTGCCTCACATGTGCCTTACAGAAGAATCCAGGATGACTGAGGACTCTTGTCCTTGGGAGAAGTTATAGATAGCCTTAGAGTATCAGGTTGACATGAATGTAGGGGACACAACTTCTTGCAGAGGCTCAAAGCTAGTTTCCTAAGAGTGAGCTGCTACTAGATGTGCACATCAGGAGGAAAGACATTGGGTTCTATCCATTAGGAAAATTGCATTTTGTAAAGGTGCAATCACATCAGCAATGGACAGCTGGGATTAAAGGTATTTCTAAATCCTCCCAGCAGAATGTTTTCATAATGCAGAGGATCCTGGTCCATCGGAAGATTAGAGCTTTTGGCCTCTGGGGCCAAACGGTGAGCACTTACCACGGGTGATGGAAACTTGGTGTCTTCTTGTGGGCAACAGGAAATTCTTGAGTGCTTTACTCTGTCTAGAAGGAAGGGACATTCGATATTGAGTATTGCGCACAGTGAGTGGAAAGTCACTTAGTGTTATAGATACACAAAGCAAAGATAGCCAGTCACCATGAAGTAGATGAAGCATTGAGTGACTCAGGGTTGCGACAGTTTGTAGCATGGATTGAACAGACCTTCTTCTGAAGACAGCTGTAAGCTTTCCCAGCTCTCTGGGTAGGGAACACAGCTCTACCCGCTGTGCCAGGCCCGCTGTGCAGCACACAGCTCTTCGCCTCCTGCTGGAGCACTCCATCGGTACTGTCTCCTGTCTTTTTCATCCCATCTTCTGTGAGCGCCAGCTCTCGGGCTTTCCCTCAGGGAAAAGGGACCCCAGGGATTTCAGCTCTATTTCTCTGCCTCCATCCTTTTGCTCACCAGCTGGGTGAAAACATGAACTCCGTGCACCCATGGCCTTCACTGCTTAGAAAATCTCCCTCTCAGATAAAAGCACTGTGTGAGTCTGTGGAAAACACCAGCACTCTGACACACTGTGACTGATCTTCTGCACAATATGAGCAGACCCTAGACCGTAATCATCAGTGAACTTTAATGTCTGTACCTACAGCCTGGTTTTCTTCTCTTTTATAACAGGTTATATGGATCAGCAGTGTTTAAATCTAAGTATGTTGAGTCAATTATCTGTTCTATTGTGCTATTTTTTATGGCCTTTTGGTCTTTATCATAGCTAGATAAATACCTCCCCCCCAAAAAAAAGTGCTTTGTAGAACACTTGTACTTAGTTTGAAAACAATAAATCGAAATGCATTTGTATTTCCATTTCCTGCAAATAAATATTTTTTTCTTAAATAGTAAAAATGGTGCCCAGTTTTTGAAATTCCTGGGATGTGTTTCTAAAAGCATTTGGTCTTTCTTTTAAGCATGAATTCAAGTATGTGTGCCAAACCATTCTTACCTGATTACCTAGTCAAACTGAAAGAAGAGACTCAAACTAGCAATTTGTGTGTTGTGTGGTACTACATCCAAGCTGAGATGGAAGGATATTGAAAAATACATTTTTTCTTCCCAGGGACAGGAAGAGAAACAGGTTTCTCTGGAGATTCACGCAGCCTCGCTGCTGTTTGTGCTGTCTCCTACAACTATTCCCTAACTAGATTTTGAATCTATGGATTAGATTTTGCTTTCCCTGTCTCTGGATGCTTGAGAATGATGCTTTGGACTTAAGCCAGAAAGAAATGATCCTCCTTCTGTATATGAACAGTTGCAGAGAAAGCCTAACACAGCTTCATGCTCCAGAAATTCTGATGAAATGGTTGATAAAGGTCAGTGCATTCAAGCAGAATAATCTCGACTCCGTTGCACTCTCTGGATCCAAATTAATTTTCTCCACGTACGGAGAGTGGGGGCTGCATTTAATCTCACCGAGAGCATCCCAGAACATCAGAATCTCAGGCCATGGAACATATTACCCTGGAGAAAACAAAACTTTTTTCTTAGCAGCATGCTTAGCCTGTCCTGAGGCTTGGGGATGCTTTCATCTCCCACATCCTATCCCCCTGAGTCATTTGGCCTTCTCTTCTGCTCCTACACAAGCGGCCTGTTATGGAAACCCCTGCCTGATCTGCTGAGAATCTATACACTTATCAGTGAAAACAGTAGGTGCTGGTTTGGGAACATTATGTGTTAAGCATGCCTTTCTGCTTTCTCTACGTCTAATACTATGGCACCTAAGACCTTGGTAGAGCTAGAGGGAATACTCTTGCTGGGGCCCCAAGTCTCTAGCGTGCTACTCAGCTTTCCTATCACTGAGACCCCCACATTGTAAAGGAGGAGAGGATTAGTTAATTTAGCTCACCATTCCAGAGGGTTCAGTCCATGCTCATCTGGCTCCTAGGCAGAAGCATCACAGCAGAAAGGCATGGCAGAGCAAAGCTGCTCAGATCTGGGCAACCAGAGAAGAAGATCAGGAGAACAGGGCCCAAGAGGCAGGAGCCAGGGACCAGATAGAGTACCTAAGGTCGTGCTTCTGTGACTTGACCAAGACAAACACAGAAGGATGCTCCA